AGTAAAGTTTGTCTATTACTCAGTTCTGTGTCCTGCGCCTGACTCCGTCCTACCGCTGCACACTGACACCTGACACATCCAGTCATCCACATAACAGTGTGAAATGTGGGGATTTATAGAAATACACTAATATATATATATATACAGTGGGGAAAAATAGTATTTAGTCAGCCACCAATTGTGCAAGTTCTCCCACTTAAAAAGATGAGAGAGGCCTGTAATTTTCATCATAGGTACACGTCAACTATGACAGACAAAATGAGAATTTTTTTCTCCAGAAAATCACATTGTAGGATTTCTAATAAATTTATTTGCAAATTATGGTGGAAAATAAGTATTTGGTCAATAACAAAAGTTTCTCAATACTTTGTTATATACCCTTTGTTGGCAATGACACAGGACAAAAGTTTTCTGTAAGTCTTCACAAGGTTTTCACACACTGTTGCTGGTATTTTGGCCCATTCCTCCATGCAGATCTCCTCTAGAGCAGTGATGTTTGGGGCTGTCGCTGGGCAACACAGACTTTCAACTCCCTCCAAAGATTTTCTATGGGGTTGAGATCTGGTGACTGGCTAGGCCACTCCAGGACCTTGAAATGCTTCTTACGAAGCCACTCCTTCGTTGCCCGGGCGGTGTGTTTGGGATCATTGTCATGCTGAAAGACCCAGCCACGTTTCATCTTCAATGCCCTTGCTGATGGAAGGAGGTTTTCACTCAAAATCTCACGATACATGGCCCCATTCATTCTTTCCTTTACACGGATCAGTCGTCCTGGTCCCTTTGCAGAAAAACAGCCCCAAAGCATGATGTTTCCACCCCCATGCTTCACAGTAGGTATGGTGTTCTTTGGATGCAACTCACCATTCTTTGTCCTCCAAACACGACGAGTTGAGTTTTTACCAAGAAGTTCTATTTTGGTTTCATCTGACCATATGACATTCTTCCAATCCTCTTCTGGATCATCCAAATGCACTCTAGCAAACTTCAGACGGGCCTGGACATGTACTGGCTTAAGCAGGGGGACACATCTGGCACTGCAGGATTTGAGTCCCTGGCGGCGTAGTGTGTTACTGATGGTAGGCTTTGTTACTTTGGTCCCAGCTCTCTGCAGGCCATTCACTAGGTCCCCCCCCGTGTGGTTCTGGGATTTTTGCTCACCGTTCTTGTGATCCTTTTGACCCCACGGGGTGAGATCTTGCGTGGAGCCCCAGATCGAGGGAGATTATCAGTGGTCTTGTATGTCTTCCATTTCCTAATAATTGCTCCCACAGTTGATTTCTTCTAACCAAGCTGCTTACCTATTGCAGATTCAGTCTTCCCAGCCTGGTGCAGGTCTACAATTTTGTTTCTGGTGTCTTTTGACAGCTCTTTGGTCTTGGCTATAGTGGAGTTTGGAGTGTGACTGTTTGAGGTTGTGGACGGGTGTCTTTTATACTGATAACAAGTTAAAACAGGTGCCATTAATACAGGTAACGAGTGGCGGACAGAGGAGCCTCTTAAAGAAGAAGTTACAGGTCTGTGAGAGCCAGAAATCTTGCTTGTTTGTAGGTGACCAAATACTTATTTTCCACCATGATTTGCAAATAAATTCATTAAAAATCCTACAATGTGATTTTCTGGAAAAAATATTCTCAATTTGTCTGTCATAGTTGACGTGTACATATGATGAAAATTACAGGCCTCTCTCATCTTTTTAAGTGGGAGAACTTGCACAATTGGTGGCTGACTAAATACTTTTTTTCCCCACTGTGTGTGTGTATATATATATATATATATATATATATATATATATATATATATATATATATATATATATATATATATATACATACACACACAACAGTATGTGGACACCACTCCCTTCAAATTAGTTGATTTGGCTATTTCAGCCATACCCGATGCTGACAGGTGTATAAAATGCTAGAGCTTTTATTGTGAAGTGGAAACGTCTAGGAGCAACAACAGCTCAGCCGCGAAGTGGTAGGCCACACAAGCTCACAGAACGAGACCGCCGAGTGCTGAAGCGTGTAACGTGTAAAAATCGTCTGTCCTCGGTTGCAACACTCACTACCGAGTTCCAAATTGCCTGTGGAAGCAATGTCAGCACAATAACTGTTTGTCGGGAGCTTCATGAAATGGGTTTCCATGGCCGAGCAGCCGCACACAAGCCTAATATCACCATGTGCAATGCCAAGCCTCGGCTGGAGTGTTGTAAAGCTCGCCTCCATTGGTTCGGGCTAGGCCCTTTAGTTCCAGTGAAGGGAAATCTTAACGCTACAGCATACAATGACATTCTAGACGATTCTGTGCTTCCAACATTGTGGCAACAGTTTGGGGAAGGCCCTTTCCTGTTTCAGCATGACAATGCTCCTGTGCACAAAGTGAGGTCCATACAGAAATGGTTTGTCGAGATTGGTGTGGAAGAACTAGACTGGCCTGCACAGAGCCCTGACCTCAACCCCATCGAACACCTTTGGGATGAATTGGAACGCCGACTGCAAGCCAGGCCTAATCGCCCAACATCAGTGCCCGACCTCACTAATGCTTGTGGCTGAATGGAAGCAAATCCCCGCAGCAATGTTCCAACATCTAGTGGAAGGCCTTCCCAGAAGAGTGGAGGCTGTTATAGCAGCAAAGGGGGGACCAACTTCATATTAATGCCCATGCTTTTGGAATGAGATGTTGGACAAGCAGGTGTCCACATACTTTTGGTCATGTAGTGTATGTTCTGTAGAATACGACACGTGTGCGCGCAAACACAAACACACAGTTGAAATAAACAACAAGACAATGTCAGGTTTTCTTAATAAAAATAATTCATTTCAGGACAACATATAAATAAGTATTGAAATGCACAGTACAGATAATATTTGATATTAATAAATACTGAACAAACAAAACAAAGCTTTTCATACAATACCCTATTATTGACAGGCTACACAAAAATGTCTCACAACTTTTGCATGTTTTGTTAGAACTGCGTGTTTATGTGTAACATTGGAATGTCCCTATGCATGTCAAGGAAAGTCCCAGAGCAGCTTATTAAGTATTGTGCAGTATGTAGTGGTCTGAATGGGGTGGAGACCAATAACATAACCAAAGAGCTGACAACTAATTACCCTTATATTATATTATGTGTATCATCTGATCTATATCTAGGCTGCCATAAGGCTAATCGACAAAATTCATTTTTAACAGATGTCAGATATGCATATTGAACAGATGTCATATATGCATATTGAACAGATGTCAGATCTGCATATTGAACAGATGTCCGATCTGCATATTGAACAGATGTCTGATCTGCATATTGAACAGATGTCAGATATGCATATTGAACAGATGTCAGATATGCATATTTTGAACAGATGTCAGATATGCATATTTTGAACAGACGTCAGATATGCATATTGAACAAACGTCAGATATGCATATTGAACAGACGTTAGATATGTATATTGAACAGACTTCAACGCTGCCTTAGTTAAGAGGTCAAATCAATGCTTTGTAGATGATGGCACGTTTTTTTGGCAGGAAGGAAATATCAGTTAAAATATGTAGGTTTAAAAGACGAAAACACAGGTATGTCAGTTTGATATCAAACAGAGTAGTGGAGTGAGGCATCGTGTGAGCAGAGCAGATTTCAGCAAACAGATGTCAGCAGAGCCCCTACGATGAAGAGCTACTATACTGCAGGCCAGGTTCTACGGGTGGAGAGGTATTTTACTGCAGGCTGGAGCCTACCAGCTCTGAGTAGCTAAGAGCACTGTCTGCCATGCCACAGCTACAAGGTATGAACCAAGCCAAGGGCTATGTTGCTCTTTTTCCCACAGGTGTGTTTGTTAACATTCTCCCTCCCTCCTCTGAATGAGGTGTTGAGCTCTACAGGGATTTCTCCTGCCTTTATGTTCTCCTTCCTCTGAATGAGGTGTTGAGCTCTACAGGGATTTCTCCTGCCTTTATGTTCTCCCTCCTCTGAATGAGGTGTTGAGCTCTACAGGGATTTCTCCTGCCTTTATGTTCTCCCTCCTCTGAATGAGGTGTTGAGCTCTACAGGGATTTCTCCTGCCTTTATGTTCTCCTTCCTTACATACAAACACACACTCTTTTCCTCACTGGCAATCCCCTTGGACGAGATCAACTGAACTCTGCTCTCATGTCCTCTATAAGTAAGTCATTAACTAGGAGTCTGTGTGAAGGTAATTGCCCAGCATTAACATAGCATCCTGTAACGTGGTACAACTCTCAGGCCAAGTGCTAACTTGGATTTCTACAGTACAGATACAAAAAGTGGGCAACAGCGAACAAGAACACAACAGCATCTGTACTGCTAGCAGACATCTATGTGGCGGTGGGAGAGGTTGAATATGATTGAGTTTTTACTACTGTTTTCTCTGTCATGTCACAGAACCTCTATGTTTGACTTCTGTTCAAGTAGCACCATTCAGTACTTACGGGTCCTTCCCACTCGCAATCACTCAGATACTGTACATTAGCTGTCTAGGTAGGTACAGTTTGAGACTGTAACTACTCCTGTTTAAACCACATTTCTACTAACCAAACTCTCATTTTGGAAGTGCGTGATGGCTTTGGCACAACTTTGCACTTGTGAGAACTTTGGTCGATGAGGTTCTTAAACAAAAGCTGCAGTTTATCACATTATTGTGTTGGTAGCTAGCTGCTTGATAGATAATTCCTTGGCCATATTATTAAGCAGCTTACGTATTGCGCTTTTTTCAAGATACAATCAGCAGTCCAGCATGATTCATCCTGTACACGTTGTCCATTGTCTGACACGTATACCTCACCTTTCATCCTGTACACCTGTGATAATAATAATTGCACTAAGAGGTATTCTGCTGGCCATTTCTACTGCCCCTGCTCTTTGCTCTTCATGAGCGCATGTTAAAACGGGCTTCTGGCCTTAGGGTCACTAGTTTCAGAGATGCATTGACTAGCATGGTGGCACGGCCGTTTTAATCTTCCCCAAACCTTTGGGCTCACCCCCTGTAGATCTGCTTAAAGTATTCACATTCGTTACAGTAGCCTTGCTTCTCTATGTTGGCATAGTGGTCACAGCCTTGGGTTTTACAGCGCTGCTTCGTCATCTCTTTAGGTGCCCCTGCCCTCTCCCTGCGGCTCTCTCTCTGCCCCCGCGTGGCCCGGCACTCTGGACACAGGTCTGTGCACCCGGGGGAGATGTTACTGCAGCCACTCCGCCTGCACGTTGCCTGGGTATGGGTCTGTCTGGGTCTGTCTGGTTCTGGTTTAGCAGTTCGCTGCAGATAGAGAAAAACAAAGAGAACGTTGTCACTTGTGGAAGCAAATCATTCTATCTGATCGAAGTTGTATTACACTCTAAAAACTGTAAAAAATCATTTGCAATTCAAGATGTAGTGTACAGCCACTGGGCCCTGGGTGAGAGGGAGGGAGACACTCACCATGACCAGTGGAGGGGAGTGGGCGCCAGGAACTCTGGTAGCAGTCTGGTTGAACCTGGAGCTCTGCTCCTTTAAGTAGCACTCGTTACAGTAGCCCTCCATCATGGTCTTGTCCATGGCCCCACAGCCCGGGCGCTGACAGCGCAAAGCATTCTGGAAGCCTGCCTCTGACGCGTAGCGACTCTGGATTGGAGCAGGGGGAGGAGGAGGGGTCGCCACTGGAGGAAATAAACCCAGAGAAACCACATGTCAAACTCACATATGACCACACACAATATCAACTATTCTTGAGATTCCAGTAAATTTGCAGCTTTTCCAGTTCTGTCTGGTGTAAACAGACAGAACTAGTTTCACGTTGTTTCTAAGTATACTGACATAAGTAGACCAAGAGAAGACATGACAGCTGTGGGTTTTGATGTGGCCTGATTCCTTTACATTCAATCTATATATTTTGCTGGGAAATTATAAGAAAAGCATTTCTTGTTAAAATGACTAAGAACAAGCGTCTGGTTAGACTTACGGTGGTTGGTCTGATAGTAAACATAGCAGATGGTGCAGAATCCCAGCTTCTGTTGAGTCCCGAAGAACTGGCATCCCGACCTCATACAGGGCTGGCCCGGGGGCACCTGCCAGGTGAGGCCTGGCATGTGGCTGTTGAGTGCCGAGGTGCCCGAGCGCTCAGATTCCCTGGGCTGGGGCTGGGTCCATAACGACCCAGAAGAGGCCTCTTTCCTGGCTGCTGCTGGCGGCTGGGGCTGCTCGCCCCTCTCTGTGGCAGTGTTCTGGAGGCAGGGAGGGCACAGTCCGTTAAATATCCTGAAGGCCTCCTGGTGGCACACGCTGCACCTCTCTGTCTCCTGCTCCCGTCCTGCATCCCACTGTGGCCAGCTGGGGTGGGCAGGCAGGGGGAGGCCCTTGGGGTTGCCTGCTGGGGGTCCGGAGGGGCCAGCAGTAGCAGCAGCGGGTGCATTCTGCCAGGTGTTAAAGCAGTGTTCACACAGACCATTGTGCTCCACCCTGAGGGTGAAATCGCAGCCAGGCTTCTTGCACTTCATGGCGTGGGTTTCACTGTAAAGGCTGAGGCTGGGCGCCGTGGGCGGGGGAGGGACGGAGAGCGGGCTGGATAACACCGCCCGGCAGCCAGGGGGACTGGTCCGTACTTTACTACTACACTCCGGCTCACACGCCTGACCACCGCCTTTCGTAGGGGCGGCCTCTATCCCCCCGTTGGGCTGGCCTTGGCGTTTCTCAAAGCACTCGTGGCAGTGTGGCTGGGTGTCCACAGAGACGTAGAAGGTGCACCGTGGGGTGGCACAGCGGATCTCGATGAGGGACAGCTGGGACACGGAGAAGGGGGGTGGTCTATGGGGCTGGGCGGCCCACAGTTGGTCCTTGTCCTCCTGCCAGCGCTTATACTCGTGGTTGACCAACTGGAGGTAGTCCTCCATCAGGTTCATGTCCTCAGGCAGATTCCCTTCATCCAGCCTGGGAGAGGCAACACACAACACACTCAATACTACTGATAGGATAATTATAAACCTCTTGGCCAGGCCGCCATGTCGTCAATAATGACAATTGGTTCTCAACTTGACCCACCCTAATAAATAAAGTAAATCAAATTAAAGTACTATTTTGCCACAAACATACTTTTTCCTAAACAGATTTGTATTGTGCTTTTTAAACACTGCTTTACACCCTGATCTCTATAGTTCTCCATGCCTCTAGTGTGCCACCCACCTGGCAGCGTTGATGATGCGTGTGGTGTTGTTGCCCAGTCCGATGACAGGGATCTCCATCAGCATCAGGTAGTCCTTCAGAAGCCTCTCCTTCTGCGTCTGCTCCTTCTCCATAAGGAAGTGCACCTTGAGCCCCTCAAAGCCCCCGCGGCCCGGGATGATCAGTGGCACTGCTCGGATCTCTGGGGCACACAGTCATAATGATGATACACAGCAGGTAGTATATAGCTAGCACCTTTCTGGGACCCAATGACACTGTACACCAAAACATCCTACAAGCACTCCTCAACACAATAATCTATCAATGACGGTTACTTTACACACCTGGGCCACTGTCTTTGATGGTGATGAGGGGGGCAAAGTGCTGGGAGTCATAGCCGAGCACTATGGGGTACTTGTAGCACTCCCCTGGAGGCCAGTGCAGAGGCAGGTAGATGCCCCCCACGTTGAGGGGGGAGAAGGATGAGCAGGACTTCATGCTGCGTAGCACCTGGTCTGTAAGGATACAGCCATGAGTTAGTCACTGAACACAATACAGCACACTGACTGCTTCTACTGCTATAGTAGACAGACCTACAGACAGACCGCACACTGACTGCTTCTACTGCTATAGTAGACAGACCTACAGACAGACCGCACACTGACTGCTTCTACTGCTATAGTAGACAGACCTACAGACAGACCGCACACTGACTGCTTCTACTGCTATAGTAGACAGACCTACAGACAGACCGCACACTGACTGCTTCTACTGCTATAGTAGACAGACCTACAGACAGACCGCACGCTGACTCCTTCTGCTGCTATAGTAGACAGACCTACAGACAGACCGCACACTGACTGCTTCTACTGCTATAGTAGACAGACCTACAGACAGACCGCACACTGACTCCTTCTGCTGCTATAGTAGACAGACCTACAGACAGACAGCATACTGACTTCAGAAACTGCATACACGTCTGGGTTTAAACTTCTGATGAACTGAGTGATGAGAGGCTCCATTGAGAAAGGCTGTACCTGCGATGACGATGATGGGCCTGCGGAGGATGTTGGAGAGGATAAAGATGTGCATATCCTCCAGGGAGTCAAACTGCAGCCCGTTGCAGCTGGATACAGGCGATGCCATTTTGATGATCTTCTCCCATTCCTCCTCCCAATTCTGACAGAAGAATAATCAATTAAACCACTTTGGCTGCAATAAACATCATGATACTACTAACAGGTGATACTACTAACAGACCTGGGTGATCCTACTAACAGACCTGGGTGATCCTACTAACAGACCTGGGTGATACTACTAACAGACCTGGGTGATCCTACTAACAGACCTGGGTGATACTAACTAACAGACCTGGGTGATATTACTAACAGGTGATACTACTAACAGACCTGGGTGATACTACTAACAGACCTGGGTGATGCTACTAACAGACCTGGGCGATACAACTAACAGACCTGGGTGATACTACTAACAGACCTGGGTGATACTCCTAACAGACCTGGGTGATCCTACTAACAGGTGATACTACTAACAGACCTGGATGATACAACTAACAGGTGATACTACTGATAGACCTGGGTGATACTACTAACAGACCTGGGTGATACTACTAAAAGACGTGGGTGATACTACTAACAGACCTGGGTGATACAACTAACAGACCTGGGTGATACTACTAACAGACCTGGGTGATCCTACTAACATACCTGGGTGATCCTACTAACAGACCTGGGTGATCCTACTAACAGACCTGGGTGATCCTACTAACAGACATGGGTGATACTACTAACAGACCAGGGTGATAATACTAACAGACCTGGGTGATACTACTAACAGGTGATACTACTAACAGACCTGGGTGATAAAACTAACAGGTGATACTACTGATAGACCTGGGTGATACTACTAACAGACAATACTACTAACAGGTGATACTACTAACAGACCTGGGTGATCCTACTTACAGACATGGGTGATCCTACTAACAGACCTGGGTGATAATACTAACAGACCTGGGTGATACTACTAACAGACCTGGGTGATCCTACTAACAGACCTGGGTGATCCTACTAACAGGTGATACTACTAACAGACCTGGGTGATACAACTAACAGACCTGGGTGATACAACTAACAGACCTGGGTGATACTACTAACAGACCTGGGTGATACTACTAACAGACCTGGGTGATACTACTAACAGACCTGGGTGATACTACTAACAGACCTGGGCGATACTACTAACAGACCTGGGTGAAACTACTAACAGGTGATACTACTAACAGGTGATACTACTAACAGACCTGGGTGATACAACTAACAGACCTGGGCGATATAACTAACAGACCTGGGTGATACTACTTACAGACCTGGGTGATACTACTAACAGACCTGGGTGAAACTACTAACAGGTGATACTCCTAACAGACCTGGGTGATACTACTAAAATACCTGGGTGATACTACTAACAGACCTGGGTGATACTACCAACAGACCTGGGTGATATTACCAACAGCCTGGGTGATACTACTAACAGGTGATACTACTAACATACCTGGGTGATACTACTAACGGGTGATACTACTAACAGACCTGGGTGATACTACTAACAGATCTGGGTGATACTAACAGCTGATACTACTAACAGACCTGGGTGATACTACTAACAGACCTGGGTGATACTAACAGGTGATACTACTTACAGACCTGGGTGATACTACTAACATATCTGGGTGATACTAACAGCTGATACTACTAACAGACCTGGGTGATACTACTAACAGACCTGGGTGATCCTACTAACATACCTGGGTGATCCTACTAATAGACCAGGGTGATACTACTAACAGACCTGGGTGATACTACTAACAGACCTGGGTGATCCTACTAACAGGTGATACTACTACCAGACCTGGATGATTCAACTAACAGGTGATACTACTGATAGACCTGGGTGATACTACTAACAGATCTGGGTGATACTAACAGCTGATACTACTAACAGACCTGGGTGATACTACTAACAGACCTGGGTGATACTACTAAAAGACCTGGGTGATACTACTAACAGACCTGGGTGATACAACTAACAGACCTGGGTGATACAACTAACAGACATGGTTGATACTACTAACAGATCTGGGTGATACTACTAACATGTGATACTACTAACAGACGTGGGTGATACTACTAAAAAACCTGGGTGATACTACTAACAGACCTGGGTGATACTACCAACGGACCTGGGTGATACTACCAACAGACCTGGGTGATACTACTAACAGGTGATACTACTAACAGACCTGGGTGATACTACTAACGGCTGATACTACTAACAGACCTGGGTGATACTACTAACAGACCTGGGTGATACTACTAACAGATCTGGGTGATACTACTAACATGTGATACTACTAACAGACGTGGGTGATACTACTAAAAAACCTGGGTGATACTACTAACAGACCTGGGTGATACTACCAACGGACCTGGGTGATACTACCAACAGACCTGGGTGATACTACTAACAGGTGATACTACTAACAGACCTGGGTGATACTACTAACGGCTGATACTACTAACAGACCTGGGTGATACTACTAACAGATCTGGGTGATACTAACAGCTGATACTACTAACAGACCTGGGTGAAACTACTAACAGACCTGGGTGATACTAACAGGTGATACTACTTACAGACCTGGGTGATACTACTAACAGATCTGGGTGATACTAACAGCTGATACTACTAACAGACCTCAGTGATACTACTAACAGACCTGGGTGATCCTACTAACAGACCTGGGTGATACTACTAACAGACCAGGGTGATACTACTAACAGACCAGGGTGATACTACTAACAGACCTGGGTGATACTACTAACATACCTGGTTGATACTACTAACAGGTGATACTACTAACAGACCTGGGTGATACAACTAACAGGTGATACTACTGATAGACCTGGGTGATACTACTAACAGACAATACTACTAACAGGTGATACTACTAACAGACCTGGGTGATACTACTAACAGACCTGGGTGATACTACTAACAGACCTGGGTGATACTACTAACAGACCTGGGTGATACTACTAAAAGACCTGGGTGATACTACTAACAGACCTGGGTGATACTACTAACAGGTGATACCACTAATAGACCTGGGTGATAATACTAACTGACAATACTACTAACAGGTGATACTAGTAACAGACATGGGTGATCCTACTAACAGGTGATACTACTAACATACAATACTACTAACAGGTGATACTACTAACAGACCTGGGTGATACTACTAACAGACAATACTACTAACATACCTGGGTGATACTACTAACATACCTGGGTGATACTACTAACAGGTGATACTACTAACAGACATGGGTGATCCTACTAACAGGTGATACTACTAACAGACCTGGGTGATACTACTAACATGTGATACTAGCAACAGGTGATACTACTAACAGGTGATACTACTAATAGACCTGGGTGATACTACTAACAGGTGATACTACTAACATACCTGGGTGATACTACTAACAGGTGATACTAGTAACAGGTGATACTACTAACAGGTGATACTACTTACAGACCTGGGTGATACTACTAACAGATCTGGGTGATACGAACAGCTGATACTACTAACAGACCTGGGTGATACTACTAACAGACCTGGGTGATCCTACTAACAGACCTGGGTGATACTACTAACAGACCAGGGTGATACTACTAACATACCTGGGTGATACTACTAACAGACCTGGGTGATACTACTAACAGGTGATACTACTAACAGACCTGGGTGATACAACTAACAGGTGATACTACTGATAGACCTGGGTGATACTACTAACAGACAATACTACTAACAGGTGACACTACTAATAGACCTGGGTGATACTACTAACATACCTGGGTGATACTACTAACAGACCTGGGTGATACTACTAACAGGTGATACTACTAACATACCTGGGTGATACTACTAACATACCTGGGTGATACTACTAACAGGTGATACTACTAAAAGACATGGGTGATACTACTAACATACCTGGGTGATACTACTAACAGGTGATACTACTAACAGGTGATACTACTAATAGACCTGGGTGATACTACTAACTGACAATACTACTAACAGGTGATACTACTAACAGACATGAGTGATCCTACTAACAGGTGATACTATTAACATACAATACTACTAACAGGTGATACTACTACCAGACCTGGGTGATACTACTAACAGACAATACTACTACAATACCTGGGTGATACTACTAACATACCTGGGTGATACTACTAACATACCTGGGTGATACTACTAACAGGTGATACTACTAACAGGTTATACTACTAACAGACATGGGTGATCCTACTAACAGGTGATACTACTAACAGACCTGGGTGATACTACTAACAGGTGATACTAGTAACAGGTGATACTACTAACAGACCTGGGTGATACTACTAACAGGTGATACTACTAACAGACCTGGGTGATACTACTAACAGGTGATACTAGTAACAGGTGATACTACTAACAGGTGATACTACTAATAGACCTGGGTGATACTACTAACAGGTGATACTACTAATAGACCTGGGTGATACTACTAACAGACAATACTACTAAAAGGTGATACTAGTAACAGACATGGGTCATATTAATACAATAAGTCAAACACTTTCAAATAGTTGGTTTGCACTTGATTTAGTTTGCCTGGTCCCCAAAGTGTTAACTCCAAACTAAATCAAGCACACATCTTACTACACTTTCCAAGTATTTGACATTATGTACTTTGGCCCAGGTCTGCTATAGTAACACCATCCTGGTCGTAGAGGAGGTCTGCTATAGTAACACCATCCTGGTCGTAGAGGAGGTCTGCTATAGTAACACCATCCTGATCATAGAGAAGGTCTGCTATAGTAACACCATCCTGGTCGTAGAGGAGGTCTGCTATAGTAACACCATCCTGGTCGTAGAGGAGGTCTGCTATAGTAACACCATCCTGGTCATAGAGGAGGTCTGCTATAGTAACACCATCCTGGTCGTAGAGAAGGTCTGCTATAGTAACACCATCCTGGTCGTAGAGGAGGTCTGCTATAGT